TGACTACGATATAACAGCAAGAGAAACAGAAATGACCAGCAACCATTATGAACTGAAAGTTGAAACTGCGAGATTGTGGAAAACATTGGAAAATAAGTTTAAGTGGTCCTTGTAGTGATTGGGTTATTCGGCTCCATTCCATTGAAGTTTAAAGAATATATCGATCAACTGGATCTGAAATACATTTGCGAACACTACAAAAATCTGCCTTATTGGATAGAGGAAGCATACTTCGTAAAGTACTGTGTGTCTGAGTTCCTTGTTGTAACTTGGCAGACAGTATCTTCCTTGATACTCATGACATATACACAACAATAGTTCCATGATACAAAATAATAATAATTAATCAAATAAGCCACTCCTTCCAGTATTTGATATCTATAAATTCATTTGTGTCTGGCGTAAATAAATGTCTTGCTAAGCCAACTCGTTTTTCAAGCCACCGTAATTAACATCCAAAGAGATAGCGTGTGTGAATTGGTACGTGCAATTGTATGCGTGTGTGTGTGTTTGTTTGTACGTTTGTGTGCAAAGCGTGTGTGTGTTTCTGTAGTGAATAGTTATAGGTCCAATTCACAGGTATAAATTAAATAATAATTCCTTTTTGTATCTTTCTTTCTTGTTTTGTTACAAATGGAATGGTTGGCTGACTGTAAGACTTACATAAGACGTATTAATAATGGTCGTAACACTTAAATAATTTTACTCTTAAACGACTTACATTCCCAGAATGCAATCTGTCGTCGGCCATTCTCAATCTCTTCTTCTCTCTCTCTTCCTATCTTTTTCTCAGTCTGATTATATCTTTTTCAATATATCGATTCTCTTCATCAATATTCTATCATTGTTCATCCATTAAATATTCACACCTATTCTAATTATTCGCTTATTCTAGAGGTTAAGTGACAGTAAATCCCTTCTATTCCAACATTTTCTTTTTTCTTCTGTTCCCAACAACTCTGTCGTTTGGACAATCACAATTCTTCTTCCATATCTCAGTTTTTCTTCGGCTTTTCGGCGCTGTTCCCAGTGCTACAATAACGTCTGTTACGACACTTACATCAGGCTTACTGTGATGGTCAAAATAATACTCTATTTTATTTTCCTTCAGATTGGCTTTTGTGGCCAGTCATAACAATGAAATGTGGCATTTTGTTTCCTTCATATTTACAAATACCAGATCCGGTCTTCTGGTCTTGATCAGGCAATAAATTTGGATCTCAAAACTCAAGTGGATTTTAAGTTTTTTATTATCTAAGAAAGATTCTGGACTCGACATATACCATTGGTTTTTTAGTCAAAATACAATCACTTGAAGACTTGCCAGTGAATCCCCTCCCTTACCCAATCCCGCCTATTCTTGGATTTTTTTTCTTGGCCAAATTTCTACATTTTCTTACATGGTTATCATCTTTATTTCTACACAGTCCAAATTTACTGTCCAACTGGGTTCTATCTATCCTGGCTTTTATATTGTTAGTTCTGATGGCATTTTGGGGACCGCTCTTAAGAGCGAATTAATTTCTCCTTCACGTTGTTACTACGTAGGCATGTTCATATCGATTTATTCGCTTTTCTATCGATTTATCTTCTGAAGTATCCATAAAATTGTTTCTCTTCCAATTATTGGGTTCCCATTTTTCTGTTTTCTGTTCGTTCTGGTGCAGATTTTGACTGCTGTTGTCATTCTTGGGTTTGCCTTTGTCTTCAACCAATGACGACTTCGACTCAGAACTTAGGTATGACAGATTCTCTACAATTTTCTCTGACATAAACAGTGTCTATCGAATGTAGACTGTAATAAATAATCATTAGTTTTCTTGTTTTTCAATTCAAATCTCTGAAACCTTCTTTTGGCCATTTTAAAAATGGTCCAGAATATTTAAAAATGGAAAATTACAAAATATTTATTCCTGTAGAAGAGTTGGGATTCTAGTATTTTCTTACACTTATGACGTATTGGTCAGAATTCTGGCGACCTGAGCTGAGTGGGAGGAGTTTGAAGCCAGTCGGCGTGGAATTCTCACAGTAATGGATTATCTTTGTAAATTTGAAAGTAAGACAAAAAAAAAAAACAAAACAAAAAAAAAAAACAAAAAAAAACAACAAAAAAACGCACGAATCCAGTACGGATGTGACAGTGCAAGTGACAGGCTACCGTGTGGGGATGATTGACCAACCTGTTGACATCCTTCTCTCCATCTCGCTCCCACTCCCGCTTCTTTCAAGAAACAATACCACGATTACGGTGTCTCTCCACATAATCTAAAACGCGGAGAAAAATCTAAGAAATATTTCCGTTGTTCATTCAGTCTGTGATGCAGCGTTGGGGGTCTGAGGAATTGTCGGTAAACAACGAGAAACTAGAGATGAAAGGCAACATATTCTTTGGTTTTATTTCGTGATTTTTGGTGTCATTTGCTTCGAAATTAGCCACGTACTTTCCTTTTTATTAAGTCGCCATTATTATTATTTTTATTATTATTAATTCTTTCGCATGGTTTTCGTTTTCAGCCAGACGTTTTCAATTAATCAAGTCGTGCAATCTCAGGTCTACTTTCGATGAATATTTACAGTGCCAAGCAACGTAAACTTCTGAAGCGATGGGATACGAGGCTTTACTCCGATTGTCTCGTTGTAGGACATTACCTTCGGTCGTATAGATGTCACAGTATTACTGGGGGTAGTAATAGCCCGAACGTCTCACATTCCGGGAGAGTCCCATAGTCGGTGTATTTCTTAACTTGTCAATTTCTTTGACTATGAATTATGGTCGCCAGGAAGAGCCAATCTACAAGAATCACTTATTCCGGCTATACTACCGCGATAGTTCTGAACACACCAGACGCCACTTTGTGTTCCGCTCGTAATAAGTACATTGTTCGCTGGTAGAATGAGGCATGGTAAGGCCTTTCCCAAATTTGGTTCTCGCGACTACTGGCGACTCTGTAAACGTATGTTAAATAAGAGTCCTCAGTTCCTCTTGCCTTCAGCCAATTTAAATGGCTATTATCTTCTACCGATAAAGCAGAATGCATTGCCCGCTAATTCTCTTCATATTTTACTTTCAACTTGTCAAAAGTACCTTTTTCCTGAGCGTCCACTTTGAACTGAGATTCTACTGAATGATATACATTCTATCCATTATCTCCTCTATGATCTCTTAATTTGATGCCCCCAGAGCATGGAGACTTAACGGTATCCCTTCTGCGACTGCCCTTACAAAATATGCACCTGAAATAAACGCTGTTCTCTCTACACTAGATTTTTTTATGCTTCTTTCTTTCGCGATTGTTGGATATCCTCTTCTGTTCTTAAGAATTCTGGAGAACCGTCTGATCCTTAGAACTGTCAATCTATTAGCTTTCTAATTCACTTTGGCAAAGTTCTAGAGGTTATAATCAACTCCGAATTGGTTAAGCATCTCACATCGCAGGTTCTTCTTTCAGACAAACAATATGGCTTTCGCTCCTCTAGCTCTATCGTCAATGTATTAACGGTGATTGATGAAAGAGATAAGAATGGCGAAGCTGGAACTGTTGTTTAGATATTTCGAAAGCGTTTGACAAGGTTTGATTTGCTGGTTTTCTTCACAAGTTGAAGAGTTATTGTGTTTCATGCCATTTCTATTGCTGTAGGGTAGGACAGTGTACTTCCTGCTCTTCTCTACTATTGTGATAATGGACTGCTCTTAATTATAAATATGACAAGTAGCCACATTAAAGGAGAATTTAAGTAGTATTTCATTTACTCATGTCTTTCCGTTCTATGTATGAGCATTTAATAAACCTCGTCTTTGTTTATTCTACCTAGTCTTCTGTTCCTTCAATACTTTCTCTACCTACGGCCTTCCTAATTCTCGGCTATTTTGAACAAAGACGACATTACAACAGAAAATAATTGTATAACATGTGTAAGTCAAAAGGTATTCAAATTGAAAAGCTGTGCAAAACACACTCATTGAAATTTTACAGTGTAGAAAAATGGAAAAATTGGTTAATTCATTAGACAATCAATGCAAAAACTCAATTTGAAATTGAGACAGAATTTATGCGAAAAAACATTTAGTGCTCATTCAGAAAATGGCGGTACAATAGCCACTATATTATAATTATACACCTGCTTATAGGATAAGCTCAGAAGTTACTATAAGGTTCGGATCCCTGGCTATTAGGCGGGTAACGCCAACCAAAAGACATTACCTCTAGCACCCTTAATGAAGAAGCAGATAGGCCCGGAAAGAAGATACCCAATGCACACGTTTTGTGTACCCATAAATCAAGGCAACACAACTTCTCCTTGGGTCAGAAACATCGTGGCTTACCAGGGAAACCAGAAACTAACCAGAGACAAGCTCGACCGCATTTTCGGACTAAAAGACCCATATGCCGCATGTCTTTAGAAATGTTCTAGAGTAGTACTAATTGTTCTTATAAATATGGCAAGTAGCCACACTAGAGGAGGATTTTACTAGTATTTGATTTACTCGAGGTTTTCCGATTTATATATGAGTATTGAATAAACCTCTACTTCTGTGTTTCCTCTACCTAGTCTTCTATTCCTTCGATACTCTCTCTAACAACGGCCTTCTAAATTCTCGGCTATTTTGAACAAAGACAACATTACAACATCTATGATCTGATTCAATCTTTCGTGTCAAACCGCGTAATGAAGGTTGTTTTGAATTGCCATTCCTCTAGATCACCAACTGCAGGATATTTACCAACCGTCCCACGCAGGCAGATGTAGCATAAGGCCGAATTTAATGTGGGTTATCCGAGCCCGTAGGCTCGTCCAAAAATTCCTCGTATAAAACGGGGTCGGGTAGCTGTGTCCCGAGACGAGACTCTGCCATTCGACATAGCCTCGTCTGGGGATCCTGCAGGAGGCAGAGAGATTTACTAGCACAGCTGGTGACGAATCTCCAACTCTCGACCACTTCCTTTGCCGCCTTTAATCTCCTTCTATCTCTTTCTTAACCTTTTCCTTTCCTTTCCTAGCTCTCCCCCTTAACTTCCTTGTTATCCACCCTTTCCCTTCCTTGCTCTCCTCACTTCCCTTCCTTGCTCTCCTTTACCGTCTTTGCTTTCTTCCCTTCTCTTCTTTAATCTCCTTCTATCTCTTCCTTAACCTTGTCCTTTCCTTTCCTCATTATCCCCCCTTACCTTCTTTGCTATCCACCCTTTCCCTTCCTTGCTCTCCCCTTCTTTATACCCCTCCCTTACCATCTTTGCTTTCTTCCCTTCCCTTCTTTGATATCCTCCTTTCTCTTCCTTGATCCTCTTCTTTCCTTTCCTCGCCCTCCTTTCGTTCTTTCCTTGCTTTATCCACTGTTTTCTTGTTAGGATTGGGTTTCCGTTTCCTTCTAAAGTTTTTTTCCTTCTTTTTCTTTTATTTCCATTAGACCCTTGCATCTTAATAGCAGCATAATCTTGCATGTGAACAGATTAAAAAAAAAATCAATCAATGTAAGGTAAGAATCCACGATTTATCCCTCCAACTATGGGTTAACTAGTAGGGTTTGTTTCAGTAAATCATTATTATCTTCAAAAGATTTGTACAATTTAAAAATATTTTCTGGCTTTAAATAACATGCAAAAGGTTGATGTCGTAAAAAACAACCCAGTCAATCAACTAGCTACGGTCAGATAGTACTTCATTTCTTCTCACTTTCCGACTTCTCTAAACGATTGCATTTACTTTGAGTCCGAGTTTAAAATAATTACTGAAAGCTTTCAAAATCCCATTATTTGTTTGTATTATAATAAAATCAAAAACCAAACAGAATTAATAATGATTGTAATAAAGAAATAAATGAAATTAATCAGATGCTGTAACAATAGATGCGGGAATTATCTTTGATGCAAGACATACTCGGCAAAAATGTCTTGTCAACTTCAAGTTCATGTTTTCCTACAGAGGTACCAATGCATGTGAGCGACCAGTTTATCATGACGGCGTTTGTATTCTTTCTGCACGATCACTTCACAAGCGCTAATGATGTGGGTGACATTTTTCACCTCATTTCCACACAGCCGGCGGGTAACAATAGACTTTCTTCAACCAATCGCATGAATCCGTTGTCTTAATGGCATTGATGTCCCTCTCCAACCTTCCATAAATTGGCGTCGACTCTCATTTTAGGCTTCACTTTCAGTGCCTTCTTATTGTATTCTTTGCTCTTCATGTTAGATTTCGTTGTTGGATTTCGCTTTCAATTCTGGTTAGTCAAATGTTTGGCCAGAATGAAATTGAACTGAAGGATTTATTTTATCTTCACTTGTCACTGTTGGCTCGAGTCACTGTTGGTTCAAGTTAAATTGATGATATTCGACGCCGCGAAGATATAAGATTTAAAAAATCTCTTTGTTTCTCTTGAATGTCTCTCTTATTCAAGTAACAGAAAATAAACATGCGTTTAAGTTAAAACCTTATATACATAGTCATTCCTTCCTGATATGTGTATGTCTGTGTGTGGCCGTCGACTAAATTGGCTCCCCTACTTTTTTGAATGGGGGTGATGCGAATGTTTATTAACTCTTCAGAATAAAGATAAGTTCTATCAATGCGCAAAAGAACACAAATTTGTCAATGCTTAACGCACTAAAGGAAGTGTCTCAATAAAGTCACCATGAAACATAACGCCATACCACATTGTTACACCGGTTCTCGTCCGATGACGGAAGTTGAGCATTTTTAAGTCTGGTCAGTACCTAGATGGTTGACCGCTTCGGAATACCAGTTGCTGTAAGCCTGGATGTGCAGTGATGTCATGGAATGAGCAGTCGTATCCGTTACATTCATTTACGTGGAAATACCCTAGGGAACGGCATTAATACATCTCTTTCCCGTCCACCCAGATCTTGGTTTGCCTTGCCATTTATCTAACTGGGTCCTACAGCCTTGTTTGGCAACTAGTCTACCACTGAAAATAACAGCAGCCTACTGCGGGAATTCTGCTGCAAAGTCAATCATGAACCTAAAAGAGACATGATCGCCCAAGCGTGTCTCATCCACGCCTACCAAAACACGGTGATGAAGCTTAATGACCCATTCCCCCTCCCCATGAACAACTAAGATGGCGATATCTGGGGAGGGGATATGTCCGAGAAAGGATCTTCACAGAAAAAAGAGAAAACAACAAAAAGCCATTGTTATTCTTCACATGAATAATCATGGCTGAACGCACTACAAGAATAATAGAAAATAATGTGAACAGGCTTAACTCCCTTGGGATAGATTCCTCACTCGGTAAGACAAGAATGTAACAGGAACATATTAAGGGGATCTATAGCAGTGGATAGTTGGGAAATTAGAAAAACAACCCAAAGTGCAAGCTACGAATTTCAAACGTCACAACCAAGCAGGTGCATAAATTTATCTGTGAAGTGTTTTAACAGTGAACAGAAATGACACCGAAATCCGAAGTTGCTTTACAAAAGCTAAACGAAGTATTAAGAAACGGGAAAATTTTGTTAGAAACAAAAATGAGGGCGCTGAACTGCTATGCCATATCTATTCTCCCAAGTAACAGGGAATGATGGACAATTTATTCAGAGATGAGAATAGGCTCGAAGCGACAGAGATCTGGTTATACCCACAGATGCTAAGAATATTATGAAGTAAACAGGTGAACACGAATTTTTAAAGAACATATGAACCTAATGGGCGCTTATACTTAAAATTAAGAGTCAATTGAAATTTCTGGTGCACGTAATAAGGAAAGATGGACCGGAGAATTTAACACTCACAAGGCAAACTGAAGGCAGGGGTGGTAGAAGGAAACAGAAAACAATCTACCTAATGGATTTATGTGAATATCTGGTAGAATCGGGACACAAAGTACGATAAAATGTCAAATGTTGTTGAGAGTTAAAAGAGACAGGAATTTGTGGAGAGTATGATCGCCAACGTATTGAAGGGACGGGACATATTATAGAAGAATGATGTGTTCTAAATAATACATGTGCGGGTGAAATAAACTTTGGAGTAAAGCTGTGTAAAAAGGAAAATACTTTTGATAAAAAGAGGGAGCGACATAGATAGAGTTATAATCTTTTGCTTTATATCAGCAGATAACGAAGAAAAATATACATAGGAGTAACTAAAGCAACCTGGAAACAGAGAAACTAAGCACAGAAATCATCCTTTACAAATGGTAAATACGCGAACAGCACAATGCTTTCTAAACACATATGGGAAATTAAAAAAAAATCAAATTACACCAAAATAGCAATGGAAAATAAGGAAAACAGCATCAGCCTACAACAATAAATCCAAAAACAGTAAACTTTGTCTGGAGGAGAAAATAGTTATAATCAACTTCCAAAGCTAACACAAATTATTAAATAAACATCTCAAAATGCAGACACAAAAATAAATTTTTACTCTTTTACTTAAAAATCGAAAACTAAAACAGAATACCTTGAAAATACGTTCATAGAAAATGCAATTATATACATTATGTACAATGCAGATAATGTAACATATTTTAAACAAAGCTAATACTTTAAACTAAACAAATAAAATAAGCAACCCGCAAAATCTAAATAAAAGAATTATTATTTAATATAATAAACAAATTAACAAACTAGGAATGCATACATAAACACAAGTAAATATAATAATAATGAATAACAAATAATTAGGTAATCAATAATAAATAATCGATAAAAAATTAACCCAATAACACTATAAAATAGCTACAAATAACCACATCCGGATCCATAATTACAGCGTCCTGGGTAAGACGTTAAACTACATCCGCGTCCTGGGTAAGACGTTAAACTACATCCGCGTCCTAGGTAAGACGTTAAACTACGTCCAGCAGCAAGGCCTCTGATCAGGAAGTTTTGAGGAGCGTAGAACCACCTTTTGACTGCTGGTGTTCCCAGGTCCACCCTGACCCGGGGTGGTAGCACCCGTTAGGGTCCCAGGTATGGGCAAATAGTTAACTATTACCAGCAATACTTTTTGGAAAAAAATTATTCCCAGCAATACAATTTTGAAGGAGATATATTACCAGAAACAGATTTTTGACAAAACAAAATATGACCAGCAATAAATTTTTTTGTTAGCATTAAATAACCAATTGAGGTTAATATGCCAGGAGCTCTGAAGATGGGTGGAACTCTCTATGACCTACATGCTTCATTCGCTCCAAGCCACCTCGAACGATTGTTCTGAGAAAAAGAAAGTATACAGCTGACATTTTAGATATATCTAAACGAGTTTCGCGCTATCCATATGAAACTTTCGATCTGACGAGCATATTTTAGAACATGACTCAACTTTTTTCATTAATTTCTTTTTTTTAGCAATTTACCGTGTTGGGCGAATATGACGATATGACGATAAACTACATCCGCGCCATGGGTAAGACGATAAACTACGTCCAGCAGCAAGGCCTCTGATCCAGTAATGCCTGACCCTTCTGCTCTTACCTGAATTGACTCCGTTGGTCGTTGTATAAATGAGGATATTTAACCGATGATGATCCCAACTGTCAATGGAGACAATTACAAACTATGGAGCAATTGCTCCAGTCTTGCAGATTCATGCACACTGAATGACCTTGAAACTTTAACACTCCAGGCAGTGTGCAACACTGGATGGGTTTGGTTTAGCGACTTCGATTATGTACATATTGAGACATTCATGTGGATGTCTTGCATAGCGCTAAAACCGTTCAGAAATATCTAAACTGTCATCTGTCTACAACCGCTATCTAAAATCAATGGACTGGCGCTACATAATCAAAAAGAAGAACTGTGCCAGATAACAGAAACCACTTTCAACAGCAGCAACAGCTAAAATCGATATTACACATGTAACTCCAACAGAAAAGAATTACATAATCTAGATATTGATATTCCACATGACTACAAATAAATGGTTAGTAAGGAAAACCCCATCAATACCGGAGAGAGTGGTAACAGTTACTAGATTTTAGAAACCTATTTTCTTGAAAAATTGTTTTAAGAGAAGGATTTTATAAATTTGATCAAAGAATGTTGAACGTTTCCTTTAAAGAGACGGCTAATTTTACCATTATCATATTACAGGTAGAGATATAAACGTACACCCGTGAGGAAAAAGAGAAGATCTCACATTCTGACCAGATGCACCCACCAGCTGGCAGTAATTGACCAAGCCCGAATTTAAATTGCATGGAAGCTTCGAGTTTTCATTAGTAACGCACTATGACATTGCTCTAGACGTATTTCTACAATTCCACTTTCTCTTCATTGTTGGATATATTAAAAGCAGATTGGAATAATATAACTATTTCTCAACTTGATTTTACGCCATACACAGAAAAGTATTTAGACTAATATATAAAATTAATTCCATTTTAATCTCCCCCAATCCGAAACGGCACGTCAGTTTCACCATAAAATCATTTTATGTAGACAAATTAAAGTACTTTATGAAATCCTGACCATTCAAACACAGCTGGTTTCAAAATAGCGTAACAAAATTAATACACTTATTCGTTCTTGCCTACCTACCTACCTACGTTGTACTTTGAGCTTCTAATAATAAATGAAAAATTTGAAATATAAGAATTTTTCTGTTACATGATACCATATAACTCGTGTGTTTATTATTCATACCAACCGTTTCTTACATTTTTAACATTCAGATAAAAATAAATAAATATGAGATTAATATTAATAATAAATAAATATCAGATTAATATTAAATACAATGTTGAAAATTATAATAGCATATGTACATTGTATCATTGTGTGTGCGGAATAGAGGAGAAATGTCATGTTAAAGGTTAGAAACAAAAAAATATATCCCAACTAAAAGCAGTCCCAGAGGTTGTCGGAAATCTATATAATAAATGCAAATGTCAGTGTTCCACTTTTTCAATTAAAGCGACACAACTCTCTAACTTTCTATAGCTCATCTTCTTCTATATAATAAATGCAAATATCCGTGTGTCCCTGTTTCACACTTTTTCAATTAAAGGGACACAACTCTGACTATCAATAACTCATCTTCTATATAATGAAGATGAGGATAACAGTCCGAATAATGTAAATAATACAAGTAATCATAATACCTCATCTCAGATATATATAAGCAGAAATGTTGGGGATATGACAATGAGGATAAAAGTCCGAGTAATGTAAATAATGTAAATAATCATAATACCTCATCTCAGAGATATAGAGGCCAAAATGTTGTAAATATGATGAGGATAACAGTCCGAATAATGTAAATAATGCAAGTAATAAGAAAAATTATTTACACTATTTTCATTGTTCAGACTGTTGTCACAATCGTCGTTGCCATATCCAAGACATTTACAATACCTTTTCTCAAAAATATAGACAGGTATAAGAAAACTTCTTCAGAGAAATTTTAGCCAAATTTTTACAATTTTCTTTCTTAGTCGAATGATCTAAATGTAGTTACCCAACATGATAGGAAGATTAAAAAAAAGTGTTTTTTTTTCTTTTTACTTTATCTAATAATCGTCAAAATTAATTAGGGAAAGTTCCCTTTTTGTAATTCGCGCTTTGTCTTCACCTTTTCTTCCCTCAATGCTACCTATCCTATTTATTATTCTATTCTTGGTCAACATATATCATCAATAGAAGTGGTATTAAAAGAAAAAGAAACAATCATTTCAAGTGTTATTTGGACCCTTGAACTTATTATTTTCCTTGCTTTTGTTGTTGTCATAATATTTTAGCCAATTGATTCAACAGCCTTCTTTAAAATTATTTTAACAGAAA